TCAGATGCGGAAATACAGAATCCAAACCACCAAAAAAGAAAATCAACCTTCTGCTGGTGGCATCTGACTCAGATGATGAAAATGAACATGCATCGGTCGGCTTTGCTCTGGATCATTATCGAGCAGAACCCGTCAGCAGCATGGACACACATCCCTTGGAATGGTGGTTGAAGCATGAAGGGAGATATGAATCTTTAGTGCATCTGGCACGTAAATATATTGCAATGCTAGCTACAACAGTGCCATGAGAATGCCTGTTCTCACTTTCAGATGACATTGTAAACAAGAACCAGGAAGCATTATCTCCTGCAAATGGTAACCAAACTTGTTTGTCTGAGTGATTGGCTGAAGTTGGACTGAGTGGACTTGTAGGTTCTAAAGTTTTACATTGATTTATTTTTTAATGCAGTTATTTTTTGGTACATAAATCTGCATTTGTAAATTCAATTTTTATGATAAAGAGATTGCACTACAGTACTGTATCAGGTGGATTGAAAAATACTATTTCTTTTGTTTTATACAGTGCAAATATTTGCAATAAAAAATAAAGTGAGCACTGTACAGTTTGTGTTCTGTTGTAATTGAAATCAATATATTTGAAAATGTAGAAAACATCCAAAAAATTTAAATAAATGGTATTCTATTATTGTTTAATAGCATGATTAATTGCAATTAATTTTTTTTGATCCGTTGACAGCCCTAGTTATTACACATAACTCTACAAGATAGGCCCAGAGGTGCATCAGTACATAGACCTAACAAGTTGGATAAAGTTTTGATCCTGATAGTGAAGGGTGGGTAGAATTTCATTCTTAATTCTGCGGTCTTTACTTCTGTGGGTTTAAATCCGAATAGTAACAACATTTAACATCATTATTGATGATGCAACTTTACTGTTTATCCTTTGGATTTCCCAAATAACCAGTGGAGATACCCTGAGGTAATTGAGATCAGAATCTGGCTCTGCATCTTACAATCATATAATAAGTATTGGACATTGCAATTTTTCCCCCTATGATGGTAGGTAACAGCCAGTTCAACATAGCAAGAAAAACTCCAGTAAACAAAATAAAGGTTATATTCCTTTCCTCTCCAGGGACTCCTCTAACAGTTTGCAAAGGAATGGAGCCATCCCTGGTTCTGAAGTGATTTTTACTCTATTGGCTAGCAGCGAAGAGTATATCTAAGACTTTTCTGTTATAACCAAAATAATTGTTTTTCATACTTGGAGCATCTTTGTCATTCTTTTCAAAGATTTATCTTTTGGTTCATGCTGAAAACTCTTGCCCAGTTTCATCATACTCTAAAGTGATCAAGGCAAAGATAAAATAACTAGTAGTACTTGTGGCACCTTGGAGACTAACACATTTATTTAAACCTGTCACAAAGCAAAGATGTTGATTCCGTATGATGAGATTGGTGTTCATTTCATTTTTATGATGGGACAGAGTAATTTCACAGTGGCTGTTATTAATAAGTTAGCTTAGATGAAAAAGTGACACAATATAGTAAGAGGAAAAAGGACATGAAATATTGGAACGTTATATATTGTATCAGAGACATACATTTGTGCTCCTTCTGTACAACAGCATAGAATGAAGCTTAACTAATTAGTCTGGGATGCCAAGTGGGAAATTTTTGGCAAATTTTGGAAATGTAGGGGGGAAGGGGCAGAGTGAGGGCAGGGTCTCGGTGGAGGAGGGCAGAGCAGGGACAGGAAGAGGCGGAGCGATGGTGGGGCCTTGGTGGAGGAGGGCAGAGCGGGGACAGGAAGAAGCGGAGCAAGGGCTGGGCCTTGGCTGAAGGGGCAGAGTGGGAGCAGAGAAAATATCTAGAGTAAATTTGCCGTAATGAAATCAGCATAAGATGACCCCAATGTTATACCCATGATAAAGGACAGTCATTACTTTAACTTTTCAAAGAAATTTCAGAAAACAGCTTGACATTGTGACACTCTGCATCCCATATTCATCATAGTGATATGATTATGAAACTGTCACAAACATGATTTACAAAAACATCCATAATTCTCAAAGCAACCACTGCATAATATACCATACCCCTGTAAAATCACTCCTGAGGTTAATTCCTTCATAAAAATGTAGGGAAATGCAATGAATCTCAAATTCAGACAGCGTTTTCCGTTTGGGCCCCCAGACTATAAATGAAGTTATGAAAAGAGAGAAAGGGTCAAATCCTAGTCCAGTCAAAGATACCAGACACACTCCTATTTTTCATTATTGGATTCTCACTTTTGGGTTTTGTACCAGGTTTGTTTTGAGAATTACTCATGAAGATGGGCTAAATCGTCAGCTGCCCTGGAACAATACTTGGTATATCTGGTGCGGGGGGTGGGGGTGTGGTGGGGTGGAAAGGAGGGTTACACCGTCTCTTTCTGGGCAGCTTTGTCAAAACACAAAGTAGCTTCAGAGTTGCTCTAACTTGTAGCAGTTTGTAATGGCCCCCTAGGGGCCATGATGTGGAGGGGGGGACTCCACAGAATGTGATGCACTCCAATCAGAGCCTGCCTTCCTTCCCTGCTTCCCTGTGTGGGGCGAGGAGGCAGGAAGAAGTGGCATTGAACTGGCTTTGCTGTTTTAAACCAGTTTTCTACGTCCCTTTGTGTCTTTGAAGCAGCATAAAGGGACCTGAATGCTAACTGGGATCTGGCTCCATATTTTCAAAAAGCAGAATTACATGTAAGTAACTTCCCTCTGATTTAGGTGGGGCCGAGGTTTGTCCCAAATCTGCTGTGGCTATTTTGGGGAATTACTGAAAAGAATTGTGGGTTCAGCTTTTATCATCTTTTTTTTTAACTACTGCAAGATAAATTACTGTATTCTATGCATCCGAAGAAGTGGGATGTAGCCCACGAAAGCTTATGCTCAAATACATTTGTTAGTCTCTAAGGTGCCACAAGTACTCCTGTTCTGTATTGCATAGGTAATCAGTCTGAGTGTTTCCTCCCTGTACCATTCCCCCACCCTTCCTTTCTCCACTGACAAGAAACCTGAAATATTGTAGAGCAGCAAGTGGACTATACTGCCTATATTACTTGTAGCTTGTGGGAAACACTTTGAAGCAGGGGTTTTTGGGAAAGTTTCAGGGAATATAATTCCACCTTCTCCTTGCTGTTCCAGTTCCCTCCTGGAAATTGTAGTGTGTGCACAGTCTTCACACACAAATTGTGTCTGAGGGGTGGACATAGGTTAAGATAAGGCCACATGCGGCTCTTCAGAAATTAATATGCGGCTCCTTGTATAGGCACTGACTCCGGGGCTGGAACTACAGGCGCCAACTTTCCAATGTGTCAGGGGGTGCTCACTGCTCAACCCCTGGCTCTGCCCCAGGTCCTGCCCCCACTCCACCCCTTCCCACCCCCTCCCCTGAGCCTGCCATGCCCTCGCTCCTCCTAAAACTTGTATGAGGGGTATATAACCCCACCAGTGTAATGAATCCATGGCTGCACGATCGTCGCATTTGTTAAAGTGGTGGAGGCATGTGTATTTTGTGCAGTAGGTCCTGAGTTGTATGATGTCTGTACTGTGTGTATTGGGGATTTGTTTCAAGTATCATCACAGATGAGACTTAAGCTCTTGTGACTCTTTGATGCTCAGGATGAGCTTCATCTAACCGGGGATGGGAATATGTAGGGTAAGAGTCTGTGGCCTGTGCTGCTCCCCTTGTGCTTCTCCAGCAATGCAAAGGAAATGGAGACTGGCTGCATCGCTCTAGCTGGGGTTCCTCATGGCACAGGAGAACCCCAAGGGTATAGACCTAGTAGAGCCAGCTCCTACGCAATTCCTCCTGCAGCCCCTGTTGGGAGTAGGGGAGTGGCTCCTGGGGGTGTGATCAGCTGGTGGAGTTCAGAGCAGCCATGGAGCCTGGACTGACACTACAGTGGAGGCACTTGAGGCAGGAAATTACTGAGGCCCTACAATACGTTTCTTTTAAAATCAAAACATTAAATCTATAGTTTGATGGTTTTCAATTTTTCCCAAGCATCCCTCCCATTGGCTGATTGCCCCCCTGCTGATCTTGGTGCAGAGCTGTTTGCTTCTTCAATATGCTGTACGTATTCAGTACAACACTAAACCCTAAGGCGAAAAAGTGTAAGACTCTGCACACATTGTAGTGAGCTTGAAAAAGTGCTAGACGCTCATTTTAAAAATGTGATTCCTGGCTGTTTGTTGGTTAGTTAGTTCTCTGAAAGCAAATGTCTTAACATAATTCCTCCTGGTGTTAACTCCTGCTAGTGGTCCTCAACCAGGGTTTTACCAGTATGTGAACTGACCCACAAGCCAGCTTCATTGTGGGATCTCATTTACCCAACATAGAAAGTCACTTTTTCCTATGTACTGACATTCCCCAGAATGCCCATCCTGCCCCCAACCAGCTCAGTTCCTAGACTGGCACCTGATTCCTTGGATCGCAGCTAGACTTCATACCCTCTATGCTTTCCCTTTCACTCTCCCTTCCCATTCTCCCCCCCCTTCTCTTTTTCTGTTTCTTCCTCCCTGCTTTCTTTTGGCTCTTCCAAATCACTCTCTGGTCCCCCAGCTCCTGTGATGAGCTACAGATATGTTACCCTGCTTTGTTCCCTGCAGACATGTGGGTCAGGTCTTTATTGACTTTGATTAGATATTGAGTGGCTAGGCTGACATCGCTTCTACTTCCAGCTCAATAGGCTGGAGCTATGAGAAGGGGCAAAGTACCTCAGCACCTGGAATTTCCTACTGGAGATTGGGGGTGAGTCATTTCCAGTGGGGACAGGGTGCCCTAGAATGCCCCTAGTGGTGAGCTTGCTGACAGGCATTAGTAGGAGGCTTAGGGGCTCCCGTTCACTACAGGACTTGCAGTGGGTGATTGTTGTGTCACTATCCTCCACTGGCTGTCGCTGTTCTCCAGAGCCTGTCAACATGGTGAATCCTAGAAAAAGGAAGACTGCAATTATTTGAGTAATAAATGAACATAATTGACTTACATGTTTGTTCACATAGGATTTGATGACCTCCATGCTTGTGTTGATCCTGGAGTCCCTGAACATGGCTACAAGACACCCAGTGCAGGTGTTTTCTTTGAAAGTGCTGTAGTCCGGCTTCACTGTCAAGAAGGATACAGGCTTAAGGGTCCTTTGAAAAAGATTTGTGTGAGACATTTTAATGGCTCCTTGAGCTGGAAACCAAGCGATAAACCTGTGTGCCTACAAGAAGGTAAATTAATTTTGTTTAAACATTTCACAAACCTCAATTGTGATCACTTACATACATACCATTATGTCTCCCTGCAGAGTGCAAAAGCCTGGAACCAGTTTCATAGGATTACATTCAATATGTGTTTTAATTTCTGAGAAGTTTTTTATCCAGATAAATTAGCTTGAATATGCCTGTGTGTGTTGTCAAGGCAGGAACAGGGGAAGTAAATGAATCTTAGCCATGATAGTAATAAAGTCCCATTACAAATAGATTTATCACTGCTTTTGTCAAAACACACAGAGAGAGAATACTGCCACTGATAACAGAAACATTATTACCGTTACTGTTCATTTAGTGATCCTTTCTGTAATATCTTACTATAAAAATATAATACATCTTTGATATCATTAGAAATGAATTTTAATCAGAGGTTTAAATCAATTATTATTTATTACATGTATGTAGTTCATAATTAATTAGAGGATGAAATAGGCAGAGCAAGCCTTGGTTTATTGGTACTGTATAAGTTTACTTTTAAGTAATTCAGACATTCATGGGGTAAAACCAACTTGATTTTTGTTATATGTAAATATGGTCTGTTTAAAAATGTATCTGGTTTTAAGTATTTGAGACACTGCTACTTTTTCTTCTAAGATGTTAGATGGAAGCAGGATTAGACTATCAAATCACAAACATTAATTCTGGCCAAAAATGTGTCCAAGTAGTACATACTATTCATTTCACCAAGTATATTAAAACTATCACTTCTTTCTACAATGGATTTATTTTTGTTCAGCAGAGATACTATAATCAAGAGACATAAAAAGTGTCAGCAGGATTTAGTGTGAATGCTTTACTTCTGTGAAACTTTATCAATAATATTTGGCTAGGAGTGTTATCTCTCTATTATATTAAAAACTGTGGGGCAGATCTTCAGGTGGTGAGTCATGCTGATTTACTCCAGCTGAACAACTAGTCCTGTGTAGCCGAGAAGAATTTTTCTTCTGCTGTTTTTTTTTTTAACCTAACTGTATACCTGTTGTGTTTTAGGGCCTGCTTTTGCCCCCATTAAAGTCAGTAGCAAATTACCCATTGACTTAAGTGAGATCAGGGTCGAATTTTATTTCCTAAGGCTCCCTTCATGTAAAAGAAGATAAAATACCATTACCTAGACATGTAGATCTGACTCAAAAGAAACAACTGAAGGCTATGTGACTAAGACTTAGCCCAAAGTGAACAGTAACTGCAAATATATTATGAGAGAAAACCCCTTTTATATTTTGTCAGTGGTTATGAATCAAATCTTCTAAGCATGGAAAGTACAGAGGCCTATGGTTTTGGATGGTAAAATTTATATCCTGGTGGCATGTTCTTTCTGAATCATGATAACTGAACCTTTTGCAGTCAGTCTGTTTCTGTAAATCTCATTAATAGTTTTGCTTGTTTGTTTTGTTTTAATTTTTAACAGGGAGACATGAGAATTTTGCTCTTTCATTCCATTGGCAAAGCAGGAAATTACCATCTTCCCAGGACAATTCAATTCCATTTTGCTGTTTGTGAAAGAGACGCTTCTATTATACAATGTTTTGCACATTTCATGCTGTGGCAGAAATAATCTTGTAGATATAGCACAGTAAATAGCAGTAACTTTTTTGTTTTTACTTCACAGTCTCATTACCAGCAAAATAGTTACAAAGAAAAAATCAGCCACATTTTAACAGCACATGTGTGTAATATTCACACGCTTGCATATTCCATTCACCTGGCATTGACATCCATACTCTCTAGCCAAATAAGTGTTGATGGAAAAAATGAAAGTGGAATGACAATGGAAACAATTATGTTTAAAATTAGCAGTAAAACTAGGGGAAAAAGACAAGTTCTTGTAAAAACTTATTTTCTTTTAGACATTGCTAAGTGTTTGCTTGGGGGTTCTGCATATCTCTGAGCCAATATATGTATCACTTGTTGCAACTGTTACACTGAGCATTAATGCATTTTGATTGTGTACACAAAAAACAGTTTATTATTATCCATGGATGAAATTCTGCCCCCATAGAAGTCAATGGCAAAACTCCCATTAACTTCATTGGGGGGGAGGGTCTCAAGATTTCACCCCATGTGTGGGGGATGGTAATGTGATGGGCTGAGTGCCCAACAATCTCATCGGAGGCAATCATTAACTTGCACCATTGGGCATAACATAACATTGCCTGTCAAGGCCTTAATCCAGCAAAACACTGAAGCATAAGCTTCACTGGGTATGTCTACGCTACAGGATTAATCCGAATTTATATAATTCGAATTTTGGAAACAGATTGTATAAAGTCGAATGTACGCGGCCACACTAAGCACGTTAATTAGGCAATGTGCGTCCATGTACCGGGGCTAGCGTCGATTTCTGGAGCGTTGCACTGTGCGTAGTTATCCCATAGCTATCCCATAGTTCCCGCAGTCTTCCCCACCCATTGAAATTCTGGGTTGAGATCCCAGTGCCTGATGGGGCAAAAAACATTGTCGCAGGTGGTTCTGGGTACAGACTCACCCCTCCCTCCATGAAAGCAACGGCAGACAACCATTTCGCGCCTTTTTTCCTGGGTGAACACTGCAGACTCCATACCACGGCAAGCATGGAGCCCGCTCAGCTCAAGACAGCAGTCATGAACATTGTAAACACCTCGCGCGTTCTTGTGCAGTTTATGCTGACCCAGGACCAGAAAACGAGGCGAGGAGGAGGCGGCGACGGCAGCACAGCGACAAGCGTGATGAGGACATGAACATGGACACAGAATGTTCCCCCCCTCCCCCCGCGTTCTTACACGTCTGGGTGAGGAGGCTATGGAACATGGGGAGGGGGGGTTATGCAGGGGCTATAGCGGCACTCTGTTATCCTGCTGCAGTTCCTGAAGCTCCACCAGACGCTGGATCATGTCTGTTTGCTCACGCAGCAGCCCCAGCGTTGCATCCTGCCTCCTCTGATCTTCCTGCCGCCACCTCTCAGCTCAAGCGTCCCTCCTGTCCTCACGTTGGTCCCTCCTGTCCTCACATTCACTGGCTTCTTTCCTATACTTTGAAACCGTGTCCTTCCACTCATTCAGATGAGCTCTTTCACTGCGGGTGGATTCCATGATTTCTGCGAACATCTTGTCTCGCATCTTCTTTTTCCGACGCCTTTTCTGAGAGAGCCTTCGGGACGGAGGAGGGAGGCTTGAAAAATTTGCAGCTGCTGGAGGGAGGGAAAAAAGGAGAGAATTTTTTAAAAGGATACATTTTGCAGAACAATACTTATACTCTTTCACAGTGAAAAACACTATTCACATTACATAGCACATGTGATTTCTGTGCAAGGTCGCATTTTGCCTTTTAATATTGAGTGCCTGTGGCTTTGCTGCTAGAGATCACAGACGCAGGTCCGGGCAACAGAATTCGGCTTGCGTGCGGCCATGGTAAGCCATTGTCTTTCGGAGTCTGCGCCCTCCTTTCCCACATACCAAGCAAAGCCCGCTGAGTGCTACGGTTTTCCTGTTAACCTTCAGCAGCAGAAAACAAACTAACCCCCTCCCCCATCCAATTCTCTGGATGATCGCTTTATCCCTCCCCCCACCGCGTGGCTGGTATCAGGGAAGATCCCTGCTAGCCAAACGCGAAAAGCTCTGGCCCAATTCCCCCTTCCCCCCTCTCCCCCCCCGGGCTTGGCTAACTGCAGGGAAGGATTTCTTTTTAGCCACAGGCAAACAGCCCAGTAGGAATGGCCACCTCTGTCCCCTTAATTAAATTCCCGTATTTCAACCAGGTTACCATGAGCGATATCACTCTCCTTAGGATTACACAGCGAGATAAAGAATGGATGTTGCTTGAATGCCAACAAACACCGGGACCATACGCTGCCAGGCTTGGTCATGCCATGATACCAGATTACTTGCTGCAAGCATGGCGTAGTCAAGTGTCCTACCATGGAGGACGGAATAAGGCTGCACTGCCCAGAAACCTTGTGGCAAGGCTTTTGGAGTACCTCCAGGAGAGCTTCATGGAGATGTCCCTGGAGGATTTCTGCTCCATCCCCAGGCACGTTAACAGACTTTTCCAGTAGCTGTACTGGCCGCGAATGCATCCCAAGTCCTCAGGGCAAAGTAATCATTAAAAATGCTTGCTTTTAAAACAAGTTTTATATTTTAAAAGGTAAACTCACCTGAGGTCCCTTCCATGGGGTCATGGTCTTGGATACTGGGTTGGGAGGGTACTTCAGTCAGGCTGAGAAAAAGATCCTGGCTGTTGGGGAGAACGGAGTGCTGGGTGCTCTCCGCAAGCTGCTCCTCCTCCTCCTCCGCAGAATCCTCAGGTGTAGCTGATGCTATGGTCAGAGGTGGGGTAGTCGTGGCGGCCCTCGCTAGAACTGCATGCAGCTTAGCGTAGAAGTGGCATGTCTGCGGCTCTGATCCGGAGCGACCGTTTGCCTCCTTTGTTTTTTGATAGGCTTGTCTGAGCTCCTTGACTTTCACGCAGCACTGATCTGAGTCCCTATTGTGGCCTCTCTCCATCATGTCCTTGGAGATTTTTTCAAAAGTTTTGGCATTTCGTCTTTTCGAACGAAGTTCTGCTAGCACTGAATCCTCTCTCCATATAGCGATCAGATCCAGTACCTCCCGTACGGTCCATGCTGGTGCTCTTTTTCGATTATCGGCCTGCATGGTTACCTGTGCTGATGAGCTCTCTGTGGTCACCTGTGCTCTCCACGCTGGGCAAACAGGAAATAAAATTCAAATGTTCGTGGGGCTTTTCCTGTCTACCTGGCCAGTGCATCAGAGTTCAGATTGCTGTCCAGAGCGATCACAGTGGTGCACTGTGGGATAGCTCCCGGAGGCCAATACCATCGAATGGAGGCCACACTAACCCTAATTCGAAATGACAATATTGATTTTGGTGCTACTCCGCTCGTCGGGGTGGAGTACAGAAATCGATTTTAAGAGCCCTTTATTTCGAAATAAATGGCTTCGTTGTGTGGACGGGTGCAGGGTTAA